CCTAATCTAGAGTCAACCTTGGAAGCCCATTTCTCCTCCGTATACCATGTCTTCCCGAAAATAAGACCCTGTTATATTTTTTTTTTGCCACCAAAAAAAAGGCACCAGGTCTTATTTTCGGGGGATGCCATCCACTGACTGTCTAACCTCACTTGCGTGCGTCTTCCCCGTCCTTCTTTTCGCTGTCAGAGGCTTTTAGGAACTACTACTGTGGCTGGCGAGGCTTTCCTGAAGGCCACTGCAGCCAATAAGAGAGCTCTGGATCGATCCAGAGCTTTGTTATTGGCTACAGAGGCCTTCAGGAAAGCCTTCGCTAGGCGAGGCAGGTGTTGGGGTGTGCAAGGCCTGAGTACAACTGTCAAAAGATAAGTTGTAGGGCAGCTCCAGCCCCCCCTCCCTCATCCCCACCCTAGCTTAATTTTTACCCCTGCACTCTGGAGTGGGTGGGATCTTAATTAGGGCTTATTTTGGGGGGTAGGGCTTCTATTGTCGCACATAAACATCAAGCTAGGACTTATTTTCAGGGTAGGTTCGTATTTTTGGAGAAACGGTATCTCCCATCAACTAAATGTTGTGTACTTCCAACTCTACAGTTCCTGTCAAGCAACACCTCTTGTTTGACTTTCCCTCTCCCGGCCTCTTTCTTATCCCCTATTTCTCAGGTCAAAGAACACAATCAATCCTTTGTATCAGTTTTGGGAAGAGCAAAGTGCTGAGGACCTCAAAGAGACAGCAGAACCCAGCGAGGTGAGCAGTTTCATTCAAGCTCCATCAGCCAGTGTCCTTGCGGAGAATATTTGCTTCTCCTTTGGGCTGGGAAGTTTGCTAATTCCCGCACGTCTGGGGGGCGGCCCTTCAGTTGAAGGAGGTCAGCTTAGATCATCAGTGGGGGACCTGCAGCTCCCAGATGTTGTGAACTCCGGCATTTTCAGCGTCCTTGATTCTCCTGAGATGGTAGTTCAGCAACCACCCCACAAGTCCAGGGCAGAGCAAGTATCTCCCAACCTTGGCCATTTCGAGATGTGTGAAGTTCAGTGCCCAGAATTCCTCAGCCAGCTGGGGAATTCTGGAAGTTGAAGTCCACACATCTTCAAGTGGCCAAAGTGGGGGAGATACAGAGGTGGTATTCAGCCAGTTCTGACCAGTTCTGGGGAACCAGTAGCGGAAAATTTGAGTAGTTTGGAGAACCAGCAAATCCCACCTGTGACTGGCCCCGCCAACCCCATCTATTCTCTGCCTCCCATCGAGTCCCAGCTGATCGGCTGGGTCTTCTTTGGTTGCCCTGCACAGGAGAACGGAGCTGGAAAGCAGGTTAATAGGGTGCAGAGGGAATGGGGATTTTGCAGTAACCTTCCCCTGCCATGCCCACCAAGCCATGCCCACAAATCCAAGCCATGCCCACAAATCCAAGCCATGCCCACAAATCCACCAAGCCATGCCCACAGAATGCCACACCCACCAAGCCACACTCACAGCTGATTGTCTGGGTCTCCTTTGGTTGCCCTGCACAGGAGAACGGAGCTGGAAAGCAGGTTAATGGGGTGCGGAGGGAATGCGGATTTTGCAGTAACCTTCCCCTGCCACGCCCACCAAGCCACACCCACCAAGATATGCCACACCCAGTAAAAAAAAAAATTGAATCCCACTGCTGGGGAGGTGCTGTTTTAAGCCACTGTATTGCCTTTTTCTTTTGAACTGTGGTGTGTTTTTGCGCAGGGCAAAGGTGAAGAGGAAGACGATTTCTTGAGGGGTGAAACTCCCCAAAATGATGGCATGATCAGTGTGACGCCAAGCTCCTTCAACGCTCTTGTTCAGAATTCAGAAACCAGTCTCGGATCACCCAGTTGAACTGCAGCTGCAAGCTCTGATCTTTGGAAAAGAAAAGAGAGAGCAAGGATATTTATATGTATAAGAGACGCGTGGCAGGAGACGGGGGGGAGTGTCTCAAGGCTTCCTTTCTTGCAATAATTCAGATATCAAAACTGAAAGTTTGCATCCCAGACAGGGTGATAATGTGAGACTTTTTGTACTTATTTACTACAGAAAGCTGTCAAGTATCAGAAGCATTCAACTTTCACGTTACTTTTTTTTATTTTCCTTTCGTGTTTCCCTGTTTTGGGACATATCCCCTCAGATTAAACACAAGACTGCGATTCCAGACAATGGGAGTGCTGCATGTTGCTGCCTATGGAATAAAAAGGCAAAAAAAAAAGAGAAAGAATGCTACATTTTCAAAGCAAACTTGCTAATCAGAATGCAGTTTGGTGGAGTGAGTTAAGGTACTGGCCTAAAACCTAGGAGACTGGGAGACATAATCCCATTTTAGGCATGAAAGCCAGCTGGGTGACTGGGCCAGTTCAATCCAAGCCACCACACAGCATTGTGGGGAAAATAGGAGGAGGAAGATGTATTAGATAGGTTCTATGCCTTGCATATGTATAAAAATAAAGGGATGACAAAAAAATTAAAATAGAGAATGTTCCTATCTATTCCCCAGCTCAAATAGCAGGAAGCTATCTCTTAAAGACACAAGAGTCCCAATAGGACAAAGGGATGAAACTGCTTTGCTTTTGCCCTTTTTTTTTTAAGTGACTCACTGGTACTGGGTTGTTTGCAATCCTAAGTAAGAGAAAATGGAAGGAGAGTATGTTTGGACAACCCAATTCAGCGAAGAACAAGCACGTTCACAATGGCCTTCCCTAGCAAACTCTGGCAGATACAAGGTGCAGAATATAGAATAGAATTAGAACAGAACAGAACAGAATAAAATAGAATAGAATTCTTTTATTGGCCAAGTGTGATTGGACACACAAGGAATTTGTCTTGGTGCAAATGCTCTCAGTGTACATAAAAGAAAAGATACATTCGTCAAGAGTCAAGAATCATCAGGTACAACACTTAATAATAGTCATAGGGTGCAATAAGCAATCAAATCATACTAGGAAACAGTCCATATAAAATCGTAAGGATACAAGAGACAAAGTTACAGTCATACAATCACAAGCGGGAGGGGAGGGGTGATAAGGAGTGATGAGAAGATTAACAGTAATAGTAGTGTACACTTTGTAAATAGTTGAACAGTGTTGAGGGAGTTATTTGTTTAGCAGAGGGATGGCAATTGGGGAAAAACTGTCCTTGTGTCTAGTTGTTCTGGTGTGCAATGATCTATAGCGTTTTGAGGGAAGGAGTTGAAACAGTTCTTGTCTGGGATGTGAGGGGTCTGTAAATATTTTCACAGCCCTCTTTTTGATTCATGCAGTATATACAAGTCCACTATTGAAGGCAGATGGGTAGCAATTGTTTTTCCTGCAGTCCTAATTATCCTCTGAAGTCTGTGTCTGTCCTGCTGGGTTGCAGAGCCAAACCAGATACAAAAATGAAATGAGAAAGTTTCTACCTAGAGGATTCTTTAGCAAAAACATATTTGCACAAACATATTTATCAGGACTTCTTCAAAGGGCTCCTGGTCCCTTTAAGAGGAAAAGATTCTTCCTGTATAATTTTATTTCATTTTACCTTCACGCTGTTAAGGGGGGATTTTGTCTGGGCTGTATTGAAAAAGTGAGTTGGAATACCTTTCTTAGAAAATTTGAAATGAATTTGATTGTTGTCCTCAAAATTACAGTGTTCTGTTTTTTTTGTGTGTGTTTTTTTTTGTCAACAAGCAGTCTTAAGTATGGCTACCACATTGGTCTTCTCTGAAGATTTGCATTGGGCAGGAAGGAGAAGAACTCTAGAAAAAAAATGAACAAGCCATGATTGGCTTTAATTGTGGTTTGAATAAGCTATGCTGACTAAACACATTTATTAGCTTCATGCAATGCATCTAGAATTTTTCTTGATCACTCTCAAGAACAACTATAACAGCTATTAACGTAATAAAGGCCCCATTGGCTCTGCCAAATGAATGAGGTAACAGTGAAGCTTTCAGATTTTAAGGTGTGCAAATATTAAGATAGAAATTAGACAAAACAAGCAGTTCTTATTTGGACAGACTTTATGATTAATAGTTTTAGGATAATCTTTGTAAGTCTGCATTTCTGATTAACAGCTAGGGTTCCACAGTTTTTCTTAAAACCAGCATTTCATGAATTAAATCTTATTCAAAGGAAGTGCATTGACTTCAGTGGAGTCTTGATTCATACCAAATGTAATTAAATCTGATTAGGATTGCAGTTGTGCCCCCTCCACTCCATAATCTGCCTTTTGCCAGTGGCTGTTTTACGCACATTTTAGCTAGCACATTAACTAGCCAACCAGTCTACAAGTTTTCTACTCCTTTGAGTAAAAATTAACGGAGACACTAATCCTCATCAAGGAACCTGCTTGGGAATTTAGCAACCGAGGGGCTTCTGGTTATTACCTGTACTTCAACTTGTCTTATGTAGTTGTTTTGGGAAAATAAAGAGAAATAGTTTAGGAGGAGGAAAGAAGAGGAAGAGGGGGAGGGGAGCAGGAGGAGGAAGATGACTACGGGGTCCTCGGTGGTCTCAGAGTTCGGTTGTTTTCTTGCAAGGTGTTTCATGACCCAGCTAGGTAACCTCTTCAGTGCTAGAAGAGAGTGGGGATGACGGAGCAGAGGAGGAGAACTGTGGGGTCCTTGGTGCTCTCTGAGCTAGGTCCGTTGTCTTGCAGATGTTTCATGATGCAGGTAGTGGACCTCAGGCCTCCCCGAGATTGAGACCCCCCCTCCAGATGGGGCAGGACCACAGCCCCACACGACCCCCTCTCCAAGCTCTTGCAAAGGTGGGAAGCCACCTGAGCACTGCAATCCGTAGTAGAGCCCAGGTGGACCAACCCACCTGCTCCAACAAGCTTGGGACCGAGGGTTGCAGGTCATTGGAGTCCCTGAAAAAAACCCCTCCCCTCCCCAATCGGAGGCCGAGCCCAGGATGAGTGAGGGGGGTGAGGGTCTCCTCCTGAGCTCCAACCCCCCCCTCCTCTCCGGACTACATTTCCCAGGGCGCTTGGCAGCCGGGGCGGGGCCTGAGTCCAGCTGGCGGCACCGAAGCAGGAAGTCGCCCTGCAGCAGCTCCGGCGTGGAGGCTGCCCGACATGCCTCTGCTGGTGGAGGGGCGGCGGCTCGACCCGGCTCGGCCTCTCCGGGAACTGCTGCGCGCCTTCCCGGAGCTGGAGGTGAGCGGGAGGGAGGGAGAGGGGCTCCTGCGTCCAGGTGAGCGCCGCCGCGGGGCTCAGGTGTGCCCTGCTGCGCCTTGCGGGGATGCTGCAAAGGGCGGGTTGGGTTGGGGACCCTCTCCCGGGCCGGGCTGGCAAGGGGGTGCGGGGGGAGGTCGTCTTCCTCTTGGGCAAAGCGGGGGAAGAAGAAGCCCCTGGGGAAGGCGGGGCTGGGGATTCCCCCCCCCCCCCATGCACCTGGTGGGTGGGTGGCAGGTATTGTCTAGGGGGTTTACCTGCTTGCCTCCCTCCCTCCCTCCATCAACCTGTGCTTTTGCCCAACCTGCTGTGCTAGTTGACTATGGAGATTTTCCATAGTCCTCCAGGTTGTCCCAAAGGTGCTTCCCCCCACCCCCCCAAGAGGCAACTGGACTTTCTGGTTTTGTTTTGAAGACGTTTCGCTTCTCACCTCTTCTTCAGCTCTGACAGGATGGTGGGGAGGAGGAGGAGGATAGGAAAGATGGAAGGAAGGAAGGAAGGAAGGGGGAGAGAGAGAGAGAGAAAAAAGAGGAAGGAAGGAAGGAAGGAAGGAAGGAAAGAAAGAAGAAAGAGAAAGAAAGAAAGAAGAAAGAGAAAGAAAGAAAAAAGAAAGGGGAGGGGAGAGGAGGGGAGGAGAGGAGAGGAGAGGAGAGGAGAAGAGAAGAGAAGAGAAGAGAAGAGAAGAGAAGAGAAGAGAAGAGAAGAGAGAAAGAAAGGTCTATGGAGATTCTCCATAGTCCTCCAGGTTGTCCCAAAGGTGCTTTTTTTTTTCCCCCAGGAGCAAGCCAAACAGTTCCGCAGCCAACCTGCTCAAGCGGTGGGACCAAAAGGACTCCTTTATGTCCAGCAAAGAGAATTTGCAGCCACCACGTCCAAAGATGGTAGGTGGAGCTCGAGTGAGTTGTGAACTCTCAATCCAAGAGAAGACAGCCGAGATCTTACATGATGTTCTCCCATTTTCTTGATAGGTTCTGTTTCCATTCTGGGTTCAGATGATGCCACGACGTGCCATTTAGTGGTTCTGAGACATACAGGTACTGAAATAACTGAAAAAAATCCCTGGTTTGGTTCCCATAAAAGTAGACATTTATAAAGTTTCGGGTAGCGGGTTTAGAAGTGGAATAAGAGTTTAATGGAGATAGACTAAGGTTTTGTCTTCTTGGCTCCAGTGTCTAGAATAAGCATGACAGAAATCCACAGATCTTGTCACCACTGGCCATAACCTCAGTGCCTTCCAGTTGAGTGATCTTCAACTCCTCAAAAATCTTTGACGGATATGTCTCTAACGTGTGTTTTGATAAGTCTGTTCTGTCTAGTCTGATGAAAAGGTGGACTAGGGGAGACATGATAGCAGTGTTCCAATATCTCAGGGGCTGCCCCAAAGAAGAGGGAGTCAAGCTATTCTCCAAAGCACCTGAGGGCAGGATGAGAAGCAATGGAGGGAAACTAATCAAGGAGAGAAGCAACTTAGAACTAAGGAGAAATTTTCTGACAGTGAGAACAATTAATCAGTGGAAGAACTTGCTTTCAGAAGTTGTGAATGCTCAAACACTGGAAGTTTTTAAGAAGAGATTGGACAACCATTTATATGAAGTGGTGTAGGGTTTCCTGCCAAAGCAGGGGGTTGGACTAGAAGACCTTCAAGGTCCCTTCCAAATCTGTCCTATTCTATTCTATTCTATTCTATTCTATTCTATTCTCTATTTTATTCTCTATTCTATCTGTTCTGTTTTCTATTCTATTCTGTTGTGTTCTATTTTGCATTCTCTTCTATGCTATTCTATTTTATTCTGCATTCTGTTCTATTCCGTTCTATTCCATTCCACTCCACTCCACTCCACTCCACTCCATTCCATTCCATTATTCTGGAGAAAAGTTCTTTACAGCTACAGTTTTCCATAAGATGCAAATTCTCATTGTATTTTTTCTTTCTTTCTAGGGAGTGGAGCAATTTGTCTAACTCACTGTGATGGCTCAGATACCGAAACAGAAGTTCTGCTGATCGTAAATTCAGTAAAAGTGCTTTCTCTAAGCACCGAATGTGGAAGGTCAGGTTTTTTTTTAAAAAAAAAAAATAGTCCTTTTAAATAATCTGGTGAAAAGTTGGGGCTTCATACTTCCCAGCTGCTTTCTACCTCTTCAACTGAATAGTTAAATTCAGGCAGTCCTCGACTTACAACAATTTATTTAGCAACCATTTCAAATTGCAGCAGCAGTGAAAAAACTACGACGGGTCCTCGCACTTAATACCATCATGTCATCCCCATGGTTGCCTGATAAAAATTTGGATGCTTGGCAACTGGTGTGTGTATTTAGGATTGTTTGCAGCATCCTTGTCAACGTTCCAAGTAACGCACCCGTTAGAAAGTAGAACTCTGAGGCAGGTAGATTCCTCAAAGGACAACTTTATTGGATACATCATATTGGCACAACTAGTGAAAGAAAACCAACTCTGGAAGTTCCCACGGTTTCCCTCTAATTAAAAGAGAAAGATTTTCCCCTTTCTCCGAGTCATCAGTCACATGGTCCAATCGAAGTGCTGGCCAGTTGCTTGGTTACTTCGCTCCTCCTCTCCCAGCCACCTGTCGGAATGACCTTGGTTCCCATAGGAAAACCTTTTGTTTTGACTGCAAAACCCCAGCTAGCTATTTCCCTCCCCCTCCCATCTAGTGGCAACTTTGAAGCTTCAAAAATGGCCCCAGCCAGGTTTTCTTCGGGATTAGCAATATTGGGTTCATGTGAACGCAGAACTCATGTGAGACCTTCCCAGTCAGCTTCCAAAGTCAATGGAGGAAGCTGGATTCTCATAACGACTGGGTGATTCACTCAACAATTGCAACGATTGGCTTAACCATGGCAAAAGAGGTCATAAGAGCACTTAACCAGAGATCGTAAGACTCACTTAACAACCGCCTACCTTAGCAAACAGAAACTCTGTCTCGAATTGTGGCTATAAGTCGAGGACTTACAACTATCAGAATGTCCCTGATATGCATCCTGTATTGTAGTTACTTACCCAGAAACAAAATGGAATCGTAGTGAGAAATACGGTAATCGTCATAATAATAAAAGGTTGCATTTTCACATCCAGCCGAATTCATTCCAATTCAGTCTTAAAAGGGATTGAAAAGTGAAGGAGTTTTTCTGGATTTTTGTGTCTGCTAGGCTGGAGTTGCACCTGGTCGGAGGGTTTTGTGACGATAGGCGCTTGTCTCAGTGTCTTACCAGTCAACTGTTAAGTAAGTTTTGTGTTTTTGGCTTTGTTGGGGTCTTCATAAAATTTCGAGATTCTCATTGAAGGAGAATAAAGTTGGCCAGTTGTGGGAATTTTGTGGACTCAAAAGCACCCAAAAAACAGATTTTAGAATTAGAAGAACGTTATTGTCATTGTACAAGTACAACGAAACCGTGGATGCACCCCAGCAACACAATAAAACCAAAGCACTTAAAAATGAAGATAAGAAAGATAGAGTACCCACGTCTCCATTTGCAATTTGAGAGTACAATATCTTTCTGCTTTAGGGAAAGGGTTTACATGATGTAGATTGTAGCGAAGGGAGCCAGTTACATTTATGGAGAAGAGGTCTATTGGGAATGACTTATTCCCTCATCACTATCCAACTATTTACAAAGTCTGCACTACTATTACTATTAATCTTCTCATCACTCCTTATCACCCATCTCCTCCCACTTGTCACGGTATGACTGTAACTTTGTCGCTTGTATCCTTAGGATTTATATTGACTGTTTCCTAGTATGATTTGATTGCTTATTGTACCCTGTGACTATCATTAAGTGTTGTACCTTATGATTCTTGACTCTTGACGAACGTATCTTTTCTTTTATGGACACTGAGAGTGTTTGCACCAAGACAAATTCCTTGTATGTCCAATCACACTTGGCCAATAAAGAATTCTATTCTATTCTATTCTATTCTATTCTATTCTATTCTATTCTATTCTATTCTATTCTATTCTATTCTATTCTATCCTATCCTATCCTATCCTATCCTATCCTATCCTACCCTATCCTATCCTATGTTGATGCCTACAGAATATATGATACCACTGATAGAGGAAGAGTAAAATGCCTCAGGATAAATTTCTTGGAACTGATCGGCTGATTGTGTCTTTGATTAAGCTAGAAATTTCATCTCATAAGGGACCAGTTATCCTGGGTGGGAAGCTGTGGTATCTTGATAAACCCAGTCTGGAAACAGAGTGGAGTATTGAAATATTTGAATAATACAATTATTTTTCATCGTGCAGTTAATCTGTATTTCTTTCCTCGGTCTATGAGTTTCATAGTCTTTCCTTTTGTGTTCTTAGGAGCATTTGATCGCTTGTTAGATAATGTTTATTTGATGACATTCTGTGTCACAGGTAATTATATATGTCTTTATTGTATTGTCTGAATCGGTTTATAATGCAACCCACTTTATGTTTTGAATTTTGGCCATCAGGTTTTACAATCCTGGTGTCAGCAGAAAAATCTGTAAAACGTTGCCAGAATTTTTATAAAAACATGACTTATTTTAACCTTGGTCAAATAAACCAACTTCATGTTCCTTTCTTTTGTTCCTCAATCTTAATAATTGAGTCATTCAAATGTTAATATAGGATTTGATCTCTGTTCAATTCTCCTTTGTCCCATTGCAAAGGGAAGTTATTTTCTCAACATGAACTACACCACTAGTCAAAAGAATAATTCAATTTTTGAGCTTATTTCCCCCACTCCCTCCCGAAATTTCTGGCTATGGTCCCTGGACCCTTAAAAATACTTGCAATATGGAATTCTTAATATGGCAGAAGGGAAAAATTAAAGAATGCATGGAGTGGAGTCATGCTTATTGTATTTAATTTAATTAATATATATAAAATGTAAATATAATCAAGTTTACTGGTTTCCCACCCCATGGCTTAGCTTTCTCTTGATCCTGTGTTCTCCTTTTGTGAGGATATTCTCTGTCAAATCTAAAATATAACCCCCCAGCTTGAAAAACATTGTGCACCCCAATCTGAAGTGACTTAGCTGTGCCATTACATACTTCCACTTTATCGCTTTTTTGATAGTCAATTTTTATGTGTTCATTACAGAACTAAATGATCGCCAAGAAAATGGCAGGCATTTGCCGTATATTTATGGAATTGGTGAGTTAATGTTTCTTGCATTTGAGACCAGGTTTAAAAACGGTGGTTTACAATTGTGAAGACTGGGTATTGCCACCTTAAAATTATTATTGTTTTAAACTGGCTCATTAAGATACCAATGAATGGAAATAAAAGATGCATGTTTTGTTTAACACTTAAAGAGAGGCAGTTTGATTTTTCCTGTCTATCAATTTGCTCTGTCCTTTGACTCAATGTTTAGTGGGAATTTCAGAACTCCTTCAGAAGGAACTTATTTTCTTATTATGTGGCCCCTTCCAGCTGCGAATGTTAAAACGGGTGAGATTTTCCACGCCACGTTTCCAGACCGAGGACCAGATGAAGACATGCGGTCTGCCAGGGTCTTATCAGGAGCAAAGGTTAGCAGTGATTGTACAAAAGAATGAGAAAGGGAACCAGAAGGTCCTCTGCCACAGACTTTACAATCTAAGAGATAAAACCTAGAAAAGAATTATGTAGCTCAGAGTTGAATTATAGAGTCCTCGATTTTCTCTAAGCTTGGTTGTTTGTTTGTAGATATTTATTATCTGACTGGATATCATTAGTGTGAGGAAGTGTGGCATTTGCTCCCTGGTTATATTAAGATGTGAGGGGAGGGAGGGAGATAGAGATAGATAGGATAGATAGGAAGATAGGAAGATAGATAGATGATAGGAAGATGGATAGAGAGAGAGAGATGGATAAATGATAGGCAGATAGAAGGATAGATGAAATAGATAGATAGATAGATGATAGATAGATAGATAGATAGATAGATAGATAGATAGATAGATGATAGATAGATAGATAGATAGATGAAAGAAAGAAAGAAAAAGAAAGAAAGAAAGAAAGAAAGAAAGAAAGAAGAAAGAGAAGAAAGAAAGAAAGAAAGAAAAATAGATAATAGAAAAATGGATGGATGACAGGAAGATAGATAATAGGAAGATAGATGATAGATAAATAATAGGAAGATAGATGGATAGATGATATAGATATGATATAAAGATAATGGAGGGAGGGAGAGATGATAGATAGGATAGAAAAATAGAAAAATGGATGGATGGATGATAGGTAGATGGATAGATGATATAGATAGATGATAGATAAATAGGAAGATGGATAGATGATATAGATAGATGATAGGAAGATAGATGATAGATAGATAAATAGGAAGATAAATGGATAGATGATATAGATAGATGATAAATAGGAAGATAGATGGATAAATGATATAGATAGTTATGATAGAAAGATGATAGATAAATAGATGATAGATGGTAGAAAAATGATAGATGGAAGGAGGAAGGGATGAGAGATAGATAGAGATAGATAGTAACTTGCTCTGCCATTGTTGGTATGTGGTTTTTTCCTGAGAGAAAACTGACGGGAGAGTTGGAGCAGGGAACATAAATGAACATAAATGAGAATCAGAGAAAGACATAAACAGGATTTGGCATTTGTAATGGGACCAGGATTAACACTTCTGGCTTCTAGTTCTGCTTGAATAACCAAGGTTTGTTCTGTGCTTGCTCCCGTTTCGTCTGCTATAACCTGTTGAAACTGTCCTGTCTCTTTGGCAGATGATCAGCATTTATGACTCCAAGAAAGAACAGCTTTGCATTGGGCCTTACTACTGGATGCCTTTCCCACACGTGGATTTCTGGTTGGAGCAGAGCAACCAGAGCATCTTACAGGTAGCCAAGGACAGCAGGGACCCCAGTTGGAGAAAGCTCAGCTGAAAGGTTGCCGAGTCCATGGATTATGTGAAGCCACAATATGATCTCTTTCGTTTTTGTTTAGTGTTTTCTGGATCTCCAACCATCGCGGTTTGTAAACCACAGCTTACCACAATGTGTACTCCCGGGAGGTTGTAACTTAGCCAGCAAGCAACGGAGAAGCAAAATGTGGAATGTCTGAATGCCAGTTGAGCGTTCAATTGGGGGTTTATTCAACCTTGGTTTATGGAACTGGTGGCCGTTCTGAGCAGTCTACCTAAACCAGGGGATCTCCAACCTTGGCAGCTTTAAGACTTGTGGACTTCAACTCCCAGAATTCCTCAGCCGGCAAAGCAGAGGAATTCTGGAAGTTGAAGTCCACAAGTCTTAAAGTTGCCAAGGTTGGAGACCCCTGATCTAAACCACAAACTAAACAAGACCCTGTGGCATGGCCTTTGTGTTAGCTCAAGGATTTCTTTGTGTCAAGTGGGGGTTTGAGATTGGATTTCCTTGTGGTGGTTTGATCACTGCGTCTATTGACTTGTGTGTAGGAGGAAAATCTTTTGATAAGCTTATGAAAACGGTATCCTAAGAATCTCACAAGTCCACAGAAGAGAATCTTGTGGCTTGGGGTTGAACTGCGCGGTCCTTGATACTCTCTCGAGTTTGGAGGTTTTCTCACAGACGTTTCATGACCCAACTAGGTAGCATCACCAGTGCTAAAAGGGAGAGGGACTTGTGGAGAGGAGGAGGGGGGGGAGGAGGAGGAGGAGAAAAAGGAAGAAGAGAAAGAGGAGAAGGACTGAGGGGTCCTTGGAGTTCTCTGAACTTAGTTGTTTTCTTGCAGACATTTCATGACCCAGCTAGGTAACATCATCAGTGCTAGAAGGGAGTGGGGTTTGTTTTTTGTTTCTATGCTAGTGGCCTGCCCTGTCGGTGTTGATAGGTAATGAAACATTTTCAAGAAAACAAGCCAAGCTCAGAGAGCACCAAGGATTCTCACCAGTCACCGGTTTTCTGAAATATTCCTTTTGGTATCTTTGCAGAATCTCTCCACATCGCCTCTGGCTGAGCCACCCCATTTTGTGTCACACATCAGAGCTACCCTGCTTTACCTAAAAGAGCATCCATTCCCCAATAAGACGGTCTTCCCTACTCAAAAACCTCGCCTCTACAAAAAAAATGCGGAGGGCTTGTGGGAGAGAGTCGCTGGCCAGATCTAACCCAAAGTGGAGAAGCCAGGAGCCCTCTGGAAGCGAAAGTCAAGAAAGGTATCAAGAGACCTACAAAGACATCAGGGGAAACCAGTGGGCTGCATTTAGAGGATGGTCTTTCGTCCCCTCAAACACCCCCGTGTTTTCCAAAACAGGCAGCCAAATTCAGTGCAAAATTAGGCATAACCTTTTCGCATTTCATGGAGTTGGGTCCAAAGCTCTCAAGAACATAAACAAGGGGTCTCAAGTGTTGTTTGCAAAGAAGGAGGTGGAAGCCTAATCCCATCCCTGCTCCGTCCAGTTTTCTCGCTTCAGTCGTTTCTTCAAGATCCAGCGTCTTACGCAAAGTCGCCATTCTGCTTGCTTCATCGGAGCTATTGTCCTTGATAAAAAAAATAGACCACCTGGAGATGCCCAGGACCTTCCTGGGCACGGTCTCATGTTGGAATGAAGCCTTCCGGTCCCTGTTTTGGAGTATGGCGTAGAAATTTCAAGGCCAGACCTGTTCCCAGTGAGGTTGGAGTGACCTGATCCAACACGAGGACGCTTCTGGTAGGGTTAGAACAGCGGTCTCCAAACTTGGCAACTTTATAAGACTTGTGGACTTCAACTCCCAGCTATGCTGGCTGGGAAATTCTGGGAGTTGAAGCCCACAAGTCTTAAAGTTGCCAAGTTTGGAGACCTCTGGGGTAGAACATCATCTTGACGCCAGATGTTTCGGTGAGGTCCTTCCGACCTAGACGATGTTGCTGTTCTCTGGAACTATCTCAGTAGAGTTCTGGGAGCTTTCAAATGAAGCTAGGCCTTGCTTGGGCCCCATGAGAAGAAACTTCTCCAAGCTAATAATAGAGGTTTGTGTTGAGGCTCCAAGCAATAGCTAAAGAATGTTGTCCATGGCATTCTGGACTGAGGACCAAATCTATTGGATGGGGACTCGCCCACATACCTATCCTCTGATGGGGGCTTTGGATTCTTGTGCAGCTCAACAGGGGGTGATTCTCCTCCATTCCTTTTTAAAGATGTGATTTTCTACAACGAATCTCCGTAACTAGTCACAATTCCTGCAAGAAATCCAGATGCAATTTTCACAGCAGACATTTGTATGGGCAAGATTCGGTATTTTGTTTCGGCTTTGTGTGTGTGTGCTGTTACTTTTCTCCACTTCAGCTTCCTGTTCCGTCCAAAAGAAATGGGTAGAATCTGGTCTGAATCTCACCATCGCTGTGTCTTTCAGCAACTGGAGGAGGTGGGGTTTTCGTTGAACCAGATCCATCAAACCACTGAATGTAGCCAAAATAATATGACGATTAAAAGCAGTCGCGGCTTAACACCGAATCTGTCCAAATTTCTAGACCTTGATTTCATTTGCAGGGCTGTCTTTAAACTTGTTCAATTTTAAGATACTCAAAGCCAAACATAGTTTATATGATACATGAATCTAACCATTGCCAGAAATAGTAACCTTCTGGATTAAATAATTAAAGCCTTCTAATGTGTATGTTCTGTACTTCTCTGTGATTATACTAGTTGGTTCTTTTAACCATCACAAACTCAGATACAACAAGTTGAAGAACCTTTATTGAAGCATTTAGGAAGTATCTAAATTAGGACTGTATTCCAGCAAAACTGCCAGCTTGATATAAAAACATTAAAATTTATATTAACAATTATAACTTTAACCTTTCCCCCCCCTCATGAACCCAAGTTAATATAAATCATTGCACTAAATAAACAGTCAAAAGGAAGACAGGAATTAAATTTGCACTTTAGAAAAATCAACCCTTAATAGTTGGAAGTTAACTGTACATTTAACCAGTGATAATCCTCAATCAAGAAAGAACAATCTGTTGTTAACCTTTAACAAACATTTTGGTCATTAAAGCCCATTGCTGCGGTACCCATGGAAGAGCCTCAATCAAGTTCTAGCTGGGTTTCAAGAAACTGGTTACTCTAGATAAACTAGATCTGATGATCATTTCCTCTCAACCTCCATATAAATAATATTAAGCAAAACTTGAACTCTTAATGCCCACTTGAATGCAAAGGGTAGAAGATCCTCGTTAGAAGAGGAGAAAATTCTAGCATTCACTGTAAGATCTAGTTTAGTGAGACCTCCATAAGGGATGTGAATCGTGCCTTGGCTTTCAAAGCAGAAAACTCTCCCATTTCCAAATTAGTAATTTCTACAATTACGACCACGTGAGTCTCTTTTAGACTCTCCCTTTTGTTGTGGTTGAGGGAATGGCATTTTCTTCTGCTAGGATGCCTTACAACATTGGATTATATTACCACCACCACCACCCAAAAAATGATTTTGAGAACACCATTCCTTAACTGTTATTATCTGTGTTAGAATAAAATCGATGTCTTCAATTGCGGACAATAAAGTTCCTTCACTTACGCTAGCTTTATGGATTAATTACTTCTAAATTGAACTCTTATTAAATGCCACAGCATTCCCCAACTGTTGCTGTCTTAGGATGTTCAATTTCATTTCCCCAGATTCTTGGTTTCTGAGTGGAAACCTTTCCGATGTGCCCAGATAGCAGCAGATCGGGGGAATTGGTACTGTAGAGAAACGTTGCTCAAAGAAGTGTATGTGTGTGCGTGTGAAACAAAATCAGAACATGAATAGGGGAAGAAATACCAAGTGCAGCAAAGTCTCTTAGGGAAACCAAGTTGCTCTGTTTAACAGAGAAAGAGCTAAATGTCTCGGGGGGGGGGGGGGGGAGGCATAATTAATCACCTAGACGAAGAATTAACACTTGAATATTTACTCTTGACTTTTAAAACCCAAATCAGCTCAGTGTGTGTGTTTCTTTCCCATAGTGTAGCACTGCACAATAAGCTAATTTCTCTGAATATTTACAATATTTAACAAATGCAACCAACCTATGAGAAAAGCTAGGGGAACAGCAAGGGGAAAAACACCCAATATGCCACCGATGGCATATGCCAGTCTTGATGTATTGCTATCTGCCCAAAAAGGCAGCCTTGGCTAATAAGGATGGATGTCCTTTCAAAGCAAACCTTTTCAAATTGGGTTTTTAAAACCACCAGTAAGTTTGGCTCTAGCAAAGGAACGTCTAAAGCTACCTGAGCCAACTCTTACAACCCTGCGAAAGGCAAAATCTTGTTCTCCCTTTTTTCGTCCACCAACAGTGCTGAAAAGGAGTGGACGGTAAGTCTGTCAAGGCAAAGATTTGGGAATCTGAAAGCAACTTAATCCCCCCCCCCCCCCAAAAAAAGAGTGCCACGTTAAACAGTAAAAGGCAGCCAGACGTTGAAAAATAGTTTAAACACTTTGATAAATAAAAATAGCCAGCAGCTGGTGGGCTCAGCAAACAGGAACTAAATTAGTTTAATCCTAGCAGAGAGTACAATCCAATTTAGAAAACCAAGGAAAGTCTGTGCCAAGCAACTTGTTAATTTAATTTAAAAAAAAAATATCAGGCATTTTTTTTGGGGGGGGACTCCTAATTCTTGCATGTTCCCTGCTAAGAAGGGAAATAATTGCTCCTAAGCCACCCCAGATCCAACCTTGACACTAAACGGGTGTGCAGGACAAACGAGATGAATCAGAACCAAGCAGACAAGTAAAGAGAGAGAGAGAGAGCAGCCTTCCACTAATTTTTGTGCAAAATCTTCAGCCAATCACACACGAATAGCAATTCGTACTGACTACCTCCGGCACGGTTCACATTTTAAGCGTGTCGTTCCGTTTCTCTTCTGGAGCGAAGTGCGCTTTTCTTTTTTTGTCTTTTTCTTTCTTTTTTTTAAACCCCTGCGCAAAAGTCTTATTTGCACCGAGCCCTGGTTTTTTTTTATCTAAGGGTCTCTCGCTCCTCAGATAGCGGATGGTCGTTTCCCGGGGCCTGAGATTTTGTGCCGGGGGAAACGCTCGTCGTTACCTCAGGGAGAGGCGGCGTGCTTTCGCTCGATGGCTCGGCGTTCTCCGGCTGGAGGGGAGAAGCTGCGAATTCTCCTCGGTCCAAGTCAGTCGCTTGGCTCACTGAGCTGGTCTCGCTGACCCCATCCGAGTTCCTCCCGGCCCGTTTAAACAGCTTTTGTCCTGGAATGAAACATGGGAACGCGGAAGATTGGCCTCTGTTCGGTGTCAGCTTTGGAAGCCATTATTAGCACCAGAAGCTTCCACGCTGCTATATTCTTACGCTTGGGAAGTTGGGAGGGGGGAATTTCATGGAGTGTATGTAGTTAAGACATAATAGCATTCTTTTTTAGAGACAAGGTCATGTTATTTCTGCACCTGGATGAGGAGTGGTTGAAGGGATGTCTCAATGTCAACTCATGAAATATTTCTACGGTCTTTTTAGAGTTGACAACAGAAAGGGAGGAGGGGAGAGCAGTGTGGCAGCTTGCATTCCATAAATGTTTTCAAAGATAGTTTCTTGGTGACCAAAGTTTCTGCCGCGCAAAATTCTAACTGGAGATCCTGATTGATGACTCTTGGCTATGGATGTGTCCCATTGGAGAATATGAATTACGATACACCCAGGGGGTGGGGGGAAACCAGGGCCAAGGATGACAATGAATGATGTCTCAGAGTCGGCTACACCCAGGCAGTGCCGGCATGTTAACTCCCAATAAATCCTTTTGAAGTTTTGGAAGTTTGGCTCGAGACTCATGATTTAAATGGGAGTAACTGTCATAGCCCTGACACTCAAATTGGAATGGATGGTGATTGGGGCATGTGATGGAATGATGGGTGCAGGGGGTGGATTTGTAATTTTTTTTACTTATTGGAGGAAAACCCAGAACTTTCAGATTCGAGTTTTCCCAGATGTGCCAGTATGGCAACTCCAATAAAATGGGACTTCAAGGAAATGCCTGTCTTGGAGTTTTGCTATTGGAGTTTGTTTTTCTGCAATGCTTGTCCACATAAGAAGTCAGTCCTTGATTTACAGCAGTTCCGTTTAGTGACAATGGCATGTTCCATTCAAAGCAGTTCTGTTCAAAGCGACAATGGCACGGAAAAAATGTGACTTGGGACCGTTTTTTCACAGTTACGACTCTTGGGACATCCCTGAGTGATCAAAACTCAAATGCTTGGCAACTGGCATGTACTTATGACAGTTGCAGGGCCCGGGGTCCTATGATTCCCCTTTTGTGACCCTCTGAGAAGCAAAAGTCCACGGGGAAGCCACATTCCCTTAATAACCGGGTTATAGTAACTTGCAGTGATTCGCTTAACGAACGGTGGCCAGAAGGGTCGTAAAATGGGGCAATACTCACTTAAATGTCTCACTTAACCACAGGATTTGGGGGCATAATTGTGGTCATAAGTCAAAGGCTACCTGTACTAGCTTTGTCTTTATTGTTTAGTTACATTAACAGGCTCTTGCAAGTCTCAAAGGACGTTTCTCTCTCCCCGCCATTACAGGCCAAGAAACCAGGGAGATGGTTGCCACGCCTCTTTCCTTCCGTGGGTTCAGCTGCCTCTTATCTGACTGTGGTCTCTTCCTCCTGTCACCCAAAACCATTCACACATACGCTGTTTCCCTGGGCTTGTGGCTTCAACTCCCAGAATTCTCCAGCCAGCTGGGAGTTGAAGTCCATAAGTCTTAAAGTTGCCAAGTTTGGGGACCCCTGCTGTACAGCCTGCTGAATGGTGAAGGTTACCAAAAGAAATTTTGAAGAATAATCATTGATTTTTTTAAAAGAAGATTTCCATGAAATAAGAGTTTGGCTCTTGGCAGCTACACGAACACATTCCTGTAGCATGATGAGGTCCCCATTTGCCCGTTAATCTTTTGGGATCTTTTTTTTCTTTTTTAATAGATATGTAAGTATTTAATTTGGACTTCCTAGTCTAGGCCTCAGCCCTGGGATTTCCTGGTGCCACTAACCAGATTGGATCTGCTTAACTTCTTAGCGATCCACAAAGATTGACTAGGGTTCACATACTGTTGGTTACTGTTTTACTCTTCTCTTCCTCCCAGAAACGTCCATAGTAGTTTGTCACTAAGAAGGACATCGTCACTGGCTTTGTTTTGGAGATGACCAAATAGACGAGCCTCGCTCCCATTTGGTCCTATTCTAGAACATTCTAATGTCCTACTTGTCCAACCTTGGCCACTTTTAAGACTTGGGGACTTCAACTCCCAGAATTCCCCAGCCAGCATGCCTGACTGGGGAATTCTGGGAGTTGAAGTCCACGAGTGCCAAGGTTGGATACTCCCATTCTAACATAATAGGATATTCTGGCTTTATAAGCCAGAATATAGAAAGGAGTCTTCTCAATGCTTTTTTTTTTTAAATAAAATAAAATAAAACTGAAGATGAAGTCAACTTACCAGGGAACTTCTGTTTAGCACGGCTTGATGTGGGAGTTGGAGGTGGGGTAATCCCTGTGCCCTGGGCTTTGGATATGTATGTTGTCTCTGTGGATTCCAAAGAACCTGCCAACGAAATAGATTTGGATCAATGCATTGATCATAGGATGCACACAAGGAAGGAAGAGATACTGATCTCCTAAGAACCTCGGACTCACGACATGTGCCATGTTTCCCTGACCGTGCTAAGGTTGACTTTTCTTGGAGTTGAACATCTTTGAAGTGATTGTTTGGAATTAACTGTGAAAGTTCAGAAATCATCTCTACTTTCCAGTTTTAAGATCGTGCTGTCAGGATTCCGCCGATCGCCCTAATTAAATCATAAGCCTCGAGCCAAGCTTCAAAAGATTTATTAGGCGCAACATGCCGGCATGACCTGTAGGAAGCCGACTCTGAGATCCCTAATTTACAATCACCTATGACCCTGTCTTCATCCACTGGGTGTATCATAATTCAACTTCTCCAACGAAACACGTTGATGCACTGGGTGTCATCGCTCACTTTCTCCAATAAAAGGATTTTCGCAGGCAGAATACCTGGTTGCCTAAGTTACAATCTTTGTGAGATAAGCTTGGAATGTGCTTCTGATTTTATTTGCCCTATGCTCCTTCAGGTCTTTCCTCCCTCTTTCTTGTGGCAACTTGGAAACAGGCATAGGAACGTTTTACAAGTTGACACATAATTCTGGTCACCAATCAAAAATTCTAGACAAGACCAATCCGTTGGTGCTATCTAAAGAAAAACGGGAGCGATTTAGAATGGAGTCAGAGGTGAACTATCTTCTCTTTTTAGCCTTTGGGAGCTTTCAAAGCTCGGGCCAAAAGTGCTTTTTTCAAAAGGCACCTGGGCTTTCTTGATCCAAGAAAGCCCAGTGGCCTCTTGAAAAAAGCACCTTTGAGACAACCATGAGCTGGATGACTAAGAATTTCCACAGATACTTTCAAACCTTGGGCAATATTAGTTTGTGTTTTCTTCTAAAATCTCCTGCAGGAAACTGATGGAGAAACCTTTTGCACAATCTAGAAAAATGGCGCATCTGAAGACCATTTTCCTCATGGACAATGCTGAATTGCAGCTACGCATTTCCTCTCTCGGAGCCCATCCCTGCTCATCTCTGGAAGTTGAAGTCCACCAGTCTTAAAGTTGCCAAGTCTGGAGCACCTTGACCTCACCAAACTCCTGCTTCTTACAATGGTCAACCCTTACGTCCAAGCAATGGTGGGAAAACGAAAGGGGAAGATCTATGATGTTGGCTAGGAATGTCCTTCAAGCTAAGTCTCGGTTGTAGAACAGTTGCAGGGACTGGGTATGTCTAGTGACGGGATAGCAGTGTTCCAATATTTGAGAGGCTACCACAAAGAAGAGGAAGTCAAGTTATTCTCCAAAGCACCTGAAGGCAGGACAAGAAGCAATGGATGGAAACTAATCAAGGAGAGGAGCAACCTAGAACTAAGGAGAAAATTCTTGACAGTGAGAACAATTAATATAGTGGAACAACTTGCCTCCAAAAGTTGTGGATGCTCCAACACTGGAAGCTTTTAAAAAGATGTTGGATATCCATTTGTCTGAAGTGGTGTAGGGTTGCCTGCCTAGGCAGGGGGTTGGACTAGAAGACCTCCAAGGTCCCTTCCAACTCTGCCATTCTATACATTCTAAATTCTCCAGTGTTTCCTATTATCTCAGAATAATTCATCCCGGGTTCAAGACTCGCCCGGTCAAATTTTATCTCACCTGCCGTTAGGTTAAAGGTTTGTCCCTTTGGCGAGGCGTGGAATGGAGAAAACCAGTTCACGACAGAACCCACCACAGGAATTTGTCGAAGCAAACCCTGGAAAGAAACAGGAGAATAAAAATGAAGTGCCAAAAGCAAAATATCGAGAAGAGGTATGTCAACTAGAAAAGGGCCTCCCACAATCCGCTCACCTCTTCCAGAAGGCGTTCCTCGTTGGCTTTTTGCAGCTGAACCTGTGCGTCTTGGATGCCTTTTCGAACAACCTCGGTCATGTTCTCCAAAAGCTGCCCAGAAAGAGAAATCAATTGAATGTGAGAAACATCACTTGCCTTTCTTGTCCATGTGAAAGTACTATTTAAAGCTGAAGTATCCAACCTCAGCAACTTTTAAGAGTTGTGGACTTCAACTCCCAGAATTGCCCAGTCAGCATGTCTGGCTAAGGAATTCTGGGACTTGAAGTCCACACCGGCTGGGGAATTCTGGGACTTGAAGTCCACATTGGCTGAGGAATTCTGGGATTTGAAGTCCACAAAGTTGGCAAGATTGGACATCCTTGATATAAAGTAATGAAGTGAAAGGGAATTATTTTAATGAATGAAGTAGTTTTATGGGAACTAGAAATAGAATCGTTAGATTGGGAGTAAGGGGAAATAAAGCATTTCCACGTTTTCAAAAGGATCATTAAAAGCAAGAGCTGTGTTTTTTCTCCCTTTGCTCTGAATGCCACCTTCATTACTAAAACCTTCGTTAATACACCAGCTGCTCCCATGGGTTAATTTGAGCATTAATCATGTCATTTAATTCACTGCTGCTGACTCTGGAAAATTAAATGAACTGCACACCAAAAGGGTTGGGGGGAAAAGTCCATTATTGCTTTCCCAGTGATACAAAATTAATCCATTAATGGCCTACTTCTTTACAGAAAATTACTGACATTAAAGTTGGAGAGCTATTTAGTATTTTTTTAAAAGGCAATTTGATTTAAATTGCTGAGAGGAAAAAGGAACCAGCCAATTTTCAGAGTGCTAATACATTTTCTCTTGGTTTATTAGTCAGACCTTACAGTATTTGACACTTTGTGTGGATTAAAGAGGGTGCAACTGTGGACTGAGCCCTTGGAATAATAGAAACATTAACCAGATTTGTTCAGTGACAACATCCAGACCAACAAACCCCAAAACTTTATTGACATAATATGAGAGAGCCAGTTTGCCTAGAGGGCATGAGGCTAGAAAGCAGGAGAGTGTGAGTTCTAATCCCGCCTTAGGCATGAAAGCCAACTGGGTGACTTTGAGCCAGTTACTCTCTTTCAGCCCAATCCACCTCACAGGGTTGTTGTTCTGGTGAAAATAGGAAGTGTGTTGGATATAGAATAGAATAGAATGGAATGGAATGGAATGGAATGGAATAGAATAGAATAGAATAGAATAGAATAGAATAGAATAGAATAGAATAGAATAGAATAGAATAGAATAGAATAGACTATGGAATGGAATGGAATGAAATAGAATAGAATAGAAAAGAAATAGAAAAGAAATAGAATAGAATAGAATAGAAAATGGAATGGAATGGAATGGAATGGAATGGAATGGAATGGAATGGAATAGAATAGAATAGAATAGAATAGAATAGAATAGAATAGAATAGAATAGAATAGAGAATGGAATGGAATGGAATAGAATAGAATAGAATAGAATAGAATAGAATAGAATAGAATAGAATAGAATAGAATAGAATAGAGGAATGAAATGGAATGGAATGGAATAGAATAGCATAGAATAGAATAGGAAAGAA